ACGAGCAGCAAAGAAAACCGATGTTGAAATCGCGAAAAATAATCATGAAACAATAGCAAAAAAGGAATTGCTTGAAGAAATAAAATTATCAAAAACAACTAAATCTGATTCAGAAACAATGACAGCAATCGATGAACACTTAGAGAGTGATACTCAGAAATTAATGATTCTTTTTGAGATAGAATTTGCAAAGCTTCCAAGAGAACAGGATTTGAAGTTTTTAGACCCTATAAGTCTTTACGAATATAAAATCCAAACAATTTTGCTATTGCAAAAAATGTTTCTACATTACGCGACAATTGAATCAAAAGTTAATGAAAAAGATCAGAATGACACTTTCCTCGGAATTGAAATTGATTTATTAATCGAAGTTCTTAGAGAAAGGTGATATTTAACACATACATTTTTAAATAAATTAGAATTATTGGAAGATTTTTTTGCAATTTTTTATAGAGTTTTTATTAAGTTATTTTTTTTATTTGAGTAAGTACATAAACTTTTTTAATGAATTAATTAAATTAATTGATTAATTACGAGTGTATGTATGCTAAGAGACAGAGCTATCTTAATGAGTACAAAAAGTTTTAATTCTATAATTTATATTTTTTTATTATAATACTTTACGTGTTTTAAATTTTCTCTTTCTTTTTTTTCCTCCTAATCTTTTTGTAAACTTCTACTCTTTTACTTATATTCTTAGGCCCGGTTGCACCAACGTTACTCTAATTTTAAGCGAGTTTTAAAACTCTCTTTGTCCCTGTCTCTTTTCGGTTTTAAAACGAGATAGAAAGAGTTTTAAATTTCACTTAAAATCACAGTAACGTTGGTGCAACCGAGTTTTAATCATACTTATTTCCTATGCCAGGAAAAATAGTTGAAATAGAAAATAGTAAATACATATTTTCAGTGAAAAAAATTGAAATAAATTCAATAGAAATATTTATTTAGAGAATGCATCTATAAAAACACTTTTTGAAACAAGTATTTTGAACAGCAAATATAAACAAGACAAAGAGTAGTTACTATTTACATTAATATTTACTTATAATAAGGTACTTATCTGACATTTCGATATATTTCATGATTATACGAAATACTTCCATTTTCGACTTTCCATTTCTTAACAATACAAAATAGAAAATAGTAAAAGTAACGAATGTCAGGCAAAGTTACCCTGTATACCTATGAAGCACTTGCTGTTTTTATTTTATTTTTACTATTTTCCATGGTAGAAGAAATCCACCATGCTATTTTCTATTTTGTACTGTTAAGAAATATAAAATAGAAAATAGAAAATAGAAATATTCTGTTTAACCACACACACAATACATAACACACACACACACACACACACACACTCACGCACACGCACGCACACACAC